CTGAAGTTTAAGTCATGGCCTGATGGCTTTTGGAAACAGGGTGTGTTAAAAAAAAAAAAAAAAAAAAAAAAAAAAAAAAAAATCACATTCAGCAATAAAAAGAGCCCTATATGGATAATTACTGCATGTTCTCAATCGAAGAAGAATACATTGTGGAATTATCTTGCAGTTTTATACTAATACACATAAAAGGTAAAATAACATGTAGAGCCTGTGGTTACCTGTAGAAATTATTAATTCTTACTGACACGGTATGATGCATTTTATGATGTTATTCCCCCATAAAAACCATACCTGGAGTGTTGCTTTGAATCTTTCATGGATGTTTGAGGAATCCTTAAATCTCCTGTGGCAACCATTCTGGGGTACCTAAACACTTACTCTCGCAAAACTCCGCCTATTTTCACTAAGTTCCGCCTCAAAACTGAAGTTTCCACACTTGCAAGCTTCCAATGGCCAGTCTGCCACAATCAGTATCTATATACTTTACTGAGTCAGTCAGGATTATTTTTAAACTACTGTGAGACATACAAAACTTAGGAACATACAATCTTCAAAGCTGAAGTACAGATGACGTAAAGTCTGAAGGTTTTGATGAGAGTGACCTGAACCGAATCTTGGGTCTCCATCTACATAACGGTCCTGAGGGGATGTACGCCCATGAATCTGAGGACTCAAAGGTCTAAAGATCAAAGAGGAGGAACAGTTGATTTTGTAAAGTGGTTTAAAAACCAAGTGAACAAGTTATCGAATGAGTTAGGGGACACTGGGATAAGGTGAGTCAAATTGGGTAAAGTTCTCTTGACTTAAGCTGTGCTGTTTTGGAGCAGGAAAGAGCATGAGGGCTTTCAAAATTTTACGGCCTGCAGAAAGCAGAGCAGAGCTGAACATCTAACCTTTGTCTCCTCATTTGCAATCAGAGTTTATTCTCTGCAATTATTCTTCCCATATCACATCTTCAAGAAAACATGAAACTTTAAATAGTTATTGTGACTTTTAATATTTTTAATATAAACCTTGAACTAAATCAAAACAAAAGCATGAACCAAATATCTAAAGATGAAAATCATTGGATCACATCTCTGCTTTTTGCAGATGATGTGGTTCTATTGGCTTCATCATGTCATGATCTACAGCACTCACTGGAGCGCTTTGCAGCTGACCTGACCCCGGATAAGGGGAAAAAAATTGATATAATGAAGACACATAGAACTACGTTTAAACCAGAAAAATATAGAAGAACAAAAGATCAGATACATCAGAGCAATTATCCTTGGTCAATAATAAGAGAAGAGAGCAAATCTAGTTAGGTTTATGGAACTTTGCAGAGGATCCAATCTCCCAAATCCCAACTCCGGCCAGTAGCGGCTGAGTGAATGTGGTCTGAACTCTGTGGAGGAGAGTCATAGTTTCAGAGACGCTGTAGAAGGACAGAATACCTGATGTGTGATCCAGGTACACTCCTAGTCTGGAGAAAACTGGACCTGAGATGGAGGTCCAGATGTCGTTGTGACCAAATTTAAAACTGTTTTGGTAACATAATAAAGCCCAAGATTTGTCATTATCTCCAAATCTACATACTTTTCCACATCCTGCTCTGCTGATATTCTTGTATGCTACTGCTACATGAATCCATGCCCTGCTCCACTCCACTTCCCAGTAGCAACGTCCAGTCAGACTCTCTCTACTCACAACCTGAGCAAAATAAGTGAATCTGTCTGGATGACTAGAATAAGACTGATGTTGAGCCGTCACTATTGCCTTCTTGTTCCCCTCTGATAGTACCAGCTGTGGGTGTGCTGTGTTTGGATCCAAGGTGATTTCACATGAACATCTTAAGAATCCAGCTCTGCTCTTTGGTTCTGGTTCTGACAGTAGAACATCCACCTCAGTGACCATCAGTGAGATGTTTGTCCATGAGTCTCTCAGGACGTCCTGTAGTTTCTCTCTGAGCTCTGACACAGCTGCTGTCACGTCCTCAAAGTGTCTCAGAGGACGGATGTTGATGCTGGATGAGTGTGTCGACTCCCTGAGTGCTGGCAGTGAGGGGTAGTTGAGGAGAAACTGGTTGTGATCCTCTGTGTGTGAGAGCTGCTCCAGCTCAGCATCTTTCCTCCTCAGCTCAGTGATCTCCTGCTCCAGCTTCTCCTGAAGCTCTTTGACTCGACTCACTTCAGTTTCCTGCTGGGATCTGATCTGCTGCTTCACCTCCGAGCTTCTTTTCTGGAGGAGACGGATCAGCTGGGTGAAGACCTTCTCGCTGTCCTCCACTGTTTTCTCAGCAGAGTGATTGATGGCCTCCACCTCCTGTTGAAGCAGCTTCACATCTTTCTCCTGGTTCTGGATCATCTGCTGGATTTTTCCTCGTCTCTCCTCCAGCTCTCTCTGCCTGTCAGTTCTTTCTGCTGCAGCTGACACTGTGTCATGGCCTTTATGTTCAGCTACTAAACACAGGCTACAGATACACTTCTGATCAGTGCGGCAGAAAATCTTCATCACCTCATCATGCTTAGAGCAGATGTTCTCCTGGAGGTTCTTGGACGGCTCCACCAGCTTGTGTTTCCTGAAAGGAGCTGAATCATAATGAGGTTGAAGGTGTTTCTCACAGTAAGAAGCCAGACAGACTAAACAGGACTTGATGGCTTTCAGTTTTCTTCCACTGCAGACATCACAGGCCACATCTTCAGGTCCAGCATAGCGGCGATCAGCAGCAGCTTGGAGTCCAGTCTTGTTCAGCTGCTCCACTAAAGCTGCTAACATGATGTTCTTCTGTAGTTCAGGCCTTGGTGTGAAGGTTTTCCTGCACTGAGGACAGTGGTAACTTTTCTTCCTCTCACCTTCATCCCAGAAGCTTGTAATACAGTTCCGACAGTAGCTGTGTCCACAGGGAATCGTCACCGGATCCTTCAGTAGATTCAGGCAGATGGAACAGGAGAAAGTTTCTCTGTCCAGCTGATTCTGCTCCATTTCTGCTCTTGGTCAGAGTGACTCTGTTAGTTTCATTTCCTGATAACATAAACCAGTTTGAGCTCTGATCTATGAATCATATGTCAGAGCAGAGAGGCTGCAGCCAATCAGCTTTTAGCTTCAGCAGATGCAGGATCCACCCAGTTACAAGGTGAGTTTAAGAGCAGGAAGAAGAGGGAGGAATACCAAACTTTGGTTCCATGAAGAGGAGGGCTGTTAAAGTAATAAAGTTGAACCGACTTTACAACATTTTTTTGTTCAGATAATGAAATAAGAATCATTGCTGCTAAAGAAACTGGATGTGTTTGGTTGTTCAGGGAAACCTGTTGCCTGTTTCCTAACTGCACTCTAATATCAACAGGACACAGAGTTTTATCTTCTGTGTAAAAACAAGATGAAACAGCAGTTTTATTATATTTCATGCTTTATATTTGTCATTCTTCATGGAGTGAAGATGACAAGAGTTTTGGTCAGTTTAGGCTTAAAGCAGTGAGAGTGAAATCCCAACATCCGACTGTTTGACAGAACTTACTGTAAGCCACTGATCCCTTCTGCTCTGGGATGGACTGAGATAATAAAATATAAGGAGGGAGTGAGGGCCGTCTGTCTTTCCTATTCTGCAGCTGCAGTCTGCCTGGCATGGATTGTCTTTTTTTTTAAGTGTGACCTAAATCAAATCTTTGGTCATCCCTCTCAGTGATCCTGAACGGGCCAATCTAGCAGCCAGGCCACCAGGAAATATCCCGGTATTCCTGATGGCCAGTCTGACCCTGACTTACCTTATCTATATTAATTAGGGGAGACGATGGTAAGATGAGACATTTTTCATATTTGATATCACTGAATCTAGGCAACGTAAGTTTGGTCGCCAACTAATATATCTGCATATTTGTCCATTGGCTATAGCAAAGTTGACTTGATCTATTGTGTTTTAGAGCAGGAAGAAGCATGAGGGTTATCAAAGTTTTACAACCTGCAGAATAAAGAGTAGATCTGAACATCTAACCTTTGCCTCCTCATTTACAATCAAGAGTTAAATATTTACTGAGTTTATTCTCTGTAATTCTTCTTTCCATATCACAGCTTAAAGAAAACATCAAACTTCACATTGATAAATTGATTATTCTGACTA